AAACCGTTACTCAAGCCAGTCATAATATTTTGGATAAATAAATGGTTTATTTAGAGTAGGAAACATTTACATGGGATTGGCACTGAAAGCCCTCCAAGTCTGTCAAACCTGGTGGAACTGATGGGATTTTTTCAGAAAGCTCCTCTCTTTGGGAACAGACTTTCCCATCGAGATTGACCATGCCATTAAAATTCCTTTAACGCAACGGAACACGGGAACTAATTCCAATATCATTATTGTGTGATTCCTCCAGAGGGGGATTTTATGTATATTTCGCCAGGAATCAGTAAAGTCTCCTCTGAAATGGGGTTCCAGTCAAAGTAAGATATCAATTCACCCTGATTTCTACTAAAGAAGTCTCAGAAAAGAGAAAGAGGTTTACACAAGCTCGAAGGCTTGCCAGATCAATACATCTTCAATATTTCATGCGTTTTCCAGCTATGTTCTGCGTCAATCAAGATCAGATTCACAAATTCAATAAGCCCTTGAAGGCATCATCTTGAATTGTTACAAAGTATACAACTTTGTGAATTAGAGGTTCTTATATTGCTTAGACAATGGGAGAGTGTCAACTTCTATACCAAGAGCATCAATGGACCTTAAACTACAACAAAAAAATATTTAGAATTTACTGGACTCCATAACGTTTGAATAGAAAAGGTCTAAGACAGCATTTTGTTGGAGAAGTAATCGAGATCATGCTTCTTTAAAACATCTTTACAATATCCTATGCTTACTAAATTTGGGGAGAAAATAGTGGATTATATAAATATGACTGTGTGACAAAAGCTAACATTTTCAGAGGATAATATTCTTTTGAACTATATACCTAGTGCATGGAACTTGACAACTGGACAACGTAAATGGATTCTCTGTGCCTTTACTTGTGGCCAAAAGACTGATATTGCAGCATTGGAAAGATAAATATGTGCCCCCATTTAGTCAATGGATTGAAGACCTAATTGCACTTGCCGCTTACGAGCAGATTGCCTAGAGACGTAGACTTTGTATGGACAAGTAAAATGAAATATGAGACTCATTTATACAAAATACAGTAGGTTAAAGAAGAATAATTATACAAGCGTACTAGAAATTAATATATATGTACTTGAGTAATATTTACATTAGATAAGTATATATAGAATTGTAATTGTTAACTGTTGTAATAGTATATTATACCTTGTTTTTCCCCCTTTTTCTGTTGTATTTTTTCCCACTTTTTTAAAAGCATTTTATGTGTTTTTTTAATGTATGTATCTGCATTATAATTATCTTTGTGTTTTATTCCTGTTCTTTTTCTTTTTATGGTATTAATTTTAAAACAATAAATAAATAAAAAGGAATCACATCGGCATAATATTTATGAACCTTAAACATGAATTAGGTTTAAAGGGACTTTCGGCTATAGTATAAATTGTGGGCATAAATTGTTTTTTTTTTTTTTAATCAACCAATGTCTTATAGGGACTGTTACAACTTGTAAAAATAGCACAGTGAAGAGTTTAACACGAAGCGCTAGCAAGGGGCATTCTCAGCACCAGATTAGCTGCAGTGTTGACTTGTACAGTCAGGTCCAGAAATATTGGGACATTGACACAATTCTAACATCTTTGGCTCTATACACCACCACAATGGATTTGGAATGAAACAAACACAATATGCGTTAACTGCAGACTGTCAGCTTTAATTTGAGGAACGCACCGGTGAGCTCAGCAACATGACTTTGACACACATACACCTACCTCCTGGAGAGTGTTCTTGATCTGGCCAACTGTTGTGAAGGGTGTTTTCTTCACCAGGGAAAGGATTCATCCATTGTGGTGGTGTATAGAGCCAAAGATGTTAGAATTGTGTTGATGTCCCAATATTTCTGGACCTGACTTTGACACACATACACCTACCTCCTGGAGAGTGTTCTTGATCTGGCCAACTGTTGTGAAGGGTGTTTTCTTCACCAGGGAAAGGATTCATCCATTGTGGTGGTGTATAGAGCCAAAGATGTTAGAATTGTGTTGATGTCCCAATATTTCTGGACCTGACTTTGACACACATACACCTACCTCCTGGAGAGTGTTCTTGATCTGGCCAACTGTTGTGAAGGGTGTTTTCTTCACCAGGGAAAGGATTCATCCATTGTGGTGGTGTATAGAGCCAAAGATGTTAGAATTGTGTTGATGTCCCAATATTTCTGGACCTGACTTTGACACACATACACCTACCTCCTGGAGAGTGTTCTTGATCTGGCCAACTGTTGTGAAGGGTGTTTTCTTCACCAGGGAAAGGATTCATCCATTGTGGTGGTGTATAGAGCCAAAGATGTTAGAATTGTGTTGATGTCCCAATATTTCTGGACCTGACTTTGACACACATACACCTACCTCCTGGAGAGTGTTCTTGATCTGGCCAACTGTTGTGAAGGGTGTTTTCTTCACCAGGGAAAGGATTCATCCATTGTGGTGGTGTATAGAGCCAAAGATGTTAGAATTGTGTTGATGTCCCAATATTTCTGGACCTGACTTTGACACACATACACCTACCTCCTGGAGAGTGTTCTTGATCTGGCCAACTGTTGTGAAGGGTGTTTTCTTCACCAGGGAAAGGATTCATCCATTGTGGTGGTGTATAGAGCCAAAGATGTTAGAATTGTGTTGATGTCCCAATATTTCTGGACCTGACTGTATTTTCTCACAACCACTAAAAAATGTGTGGCAGCGCTTTGCACAAGCTGAATCTTGTGAAACTGAATCCAGAAGTTTGCACATGGTGCCTTACAATGGAGGTTGTGAATGCCTGAATCAGCTTTTCAAATTCCCCGGCCAAGAACAAAAATTCCCCGGCCAAGAACTTAGAAAATGTCACCTGCGGCATCACCCTCATATTTATCCAAAATCAGGACTAGATCAAATAAAGTTCCAGGATTTAAGTGGGGCAACTTTTAATTTCCCTGATCAGCAGCAAATCAGTGCTTTTATCAGCTTTGACTTAACCAGGATTCAGCTTCAGTCTGTTGGTAATTATTTTTAAATTTATTACAACACGGCATTCCTTTCCTGCAATATTTTACCTCTGGACAGCTTTTCTCGCTTGCATGCGAAAATGATATTGCAATCCCATTTTTGGCAGCTAAAGAAAACATGTTGGATGCGATCCAGCTGCACTCTTCATATGAAGCCTGGCCAATTTACCCACTTCACATACACAGTTCAGAATTATTCACTCCCTCCTTTTATGAACCCTTGTGATGAACAGCAGCATCGCTGGCTGCTTAGTGCACAACGAAGCCAACTCTTCTTTGGAAACGATTTATTGTTTGATATCCAAGTGCAGGATTAAACATGTGAGAAGACCAAGGGGAAAGGAGAATACATAATTCCACGCTAATATTTATTCAACAAACCTTGTAAAAATGATCGGCTCTGTCTACATTAAACAACAATACTTCTACACAAATTAGTCCTTGAAGATTGTCCTGTGTCTCCCGTAGAATGTTTACAGTGAATCTCTTAAGAGTGGGAAGAGTAGTTTTTTTCCTGAGTTAGGAAAAGCATTTGCCCCTGTGCTCCATACATTTCCCATTGACTTAGAAGGGCCCCATCCTTTCCATTCTCAAACTGGGAGTTTCATAACTGAATACTGGATGTGTTTAACCACCAGAACATAAACGGCATGTGCTACACTAAGTGCGGGTGGGCTTCTGGGTGGAATTCAAGATGCTGATGGTCACCCATGCAGTCCTTCATGGCACAGGACCTGGCTATTTGCAGAATTGTATCTCCAGTTATCTCTGCTTGTCCTATAAGATTCAACCAGGTTTGGGAGCTCTGGGATCCATCAATTAAAGTGTCAGCTTGTGGGAGCCAAAAGGGATGTCTTCTCTGTTGCAGTGTCTGCTGAGAGAACATCCTGCCCTCACCCTCCCAAAACATTCAGTTGGCCCCAATCCTGCCCATCTTTAAGAAGGCTCTGAAGACCTGCTTCTACCCCAAGCACTGGCCCAACTGTAACTATACGAGCTGTACATCGGGGCCAATATAGTCTGTTTTATTTTATCATGTTCCTTTGTTTCTGATTTTTAAAATTCTTGTTAGCCATCCAGAGCCACCTGACGGGCGGGGTAGCCATATAAACAGAACAAATAAACAACAGGAGATGTGGCACCTGGGATTAAGGCTTGAAGAATCACCCATAAAAGGATGGAAACAGATGGTGCCAGACATGCTGATTTACATTTCAGAGAAGATGGTGGGACCGGTGGGGAAAAGGGTGGGATCTAGTTGTTCCTGAGCCATCCTAGGAGAATCTGGATCTTGTCACCCTGTTTTGCTGCTGTGTTCCTACAGAGAGTAAAATACTACAAGCAAAAGTAGTAAATGTCTCTTCCAAGACAAGAGTTCACCACAAAGCAATACCTATAGGCTGGCAGAGAGGAAGGGCACCTTCCTCTGCCAAAAGTTGCAGGACTATAATTATACGGTAAAAACATTACGTGTGAATAGCATACTATTTGTTCACTGCCAGGTTTTGTGTTTTTTTCACCTTCAAGTCCATCAACTCCTAGTGCAGTGTTTCTCAACCTTGGCAGCTTTAAGATGGGTGGACTTCAACTCGCAGAATTCCCCAGCCAG